GTGTGTGAGTGAGTGAGTGAGTGAGTGAGTGAGTGAGTGTGTGTGTGTGTGTGTGTGTGTGTGTGTGAGTGAGTGAGTGAGTGTGTGTGTGTGTGTGTGCAGAGAGGGCTGGACTACAGGACTGTTTATTGAAGACTCATATGATATGAGGGTTGCATGTTGGTTGTAAACCAAGAAAATGACCTTTTCCTCATACAATGAAAGTCAAAGTGGTTCCAGTGTTGTTTTGGACCACAATGAATTTCATTATATTGACAAAAAATATTGTCTTTTAGGTTAAATAAAGGTTTGAACAACGTGAAGGTGAGTAACTGATGACAGAACATAATTATTCCGAATTTAAAGGGATGATGATCAAAAAATGAAAAATCTGTCATCATTTACTCACCCTCATGTTCTTCCAAACCTGTATGAATTTCTTTCTTCTGTTGAACACAAAAGAAGATATTTTGAAGAATGTTGGTAACCAAACCGTTGATTGACTTCCATAGTAGTAAGTAAAAAAATACTATGGAAGTCAATGGCTACCAACATTCTTTAAAATATCTTCTGCCACACGCACATTCTATCTATTTAATAAGTAATGATTGAGGATGATTGTTTGTATAAGGTTCTTACTGTCGACCAGTAGCTGGAGCCGATCGGCCGGTAGCGCAGTGAGAAGGTTAAGGGAAAAGCAGACAGGATTTCAGCCGGCCAGGATGAAGGACAACTCCACTGCACCAGTAACTGAGTGGGCTGACCTTCCACCTGAAGAACTCGGAAGTCCTCGGGAGGATACGGCTTCACTGCAAACACACAATTACAGACATCCATTCTTATTACATTAAACAGAACAAAAGATTGTGAACTCTTTAAAGAAAGCCTTTTAACAGTCCTCAATACTTGCTGAGGTGGGGAAGTGGACATGTGTAAATATATTTCAAAATTCTCTTATAATATAAATCAAAATACATGAAATGATTCAATGCATTTGCTAACAGTATGAAGGCAAACTCACAGAGTTCATGAGCATCTATCTGGATGATGGTGGAGTTGGATCCCAGAGGGTTGATTTCGGTGATGTTCACCAGGAACTTTGAGGTCCAGAACGGTGGGTTAGAAATCATACACTCATTCACCCCAATGTGCTCCTGCTCGCAGGGCTCCACCTCTCTGCCTTTATTAACACTGCAGAAAACAGCAGAACAGTGAAGGAAGGAAGGAAGGAAAGAAAGAAATAATAAATACATTTATTTGATCAAAAATACAGCAAACATAAAATCATAGTTTACATTTTAAAATAACTGTTTTCTATGTGAAAATATTTAAACATTTTAAATATTTCATTGCTGTGATCAAAGCTGTATTTTCAGCATCATTAACTCCAGTCTTCAGGCCAGGGTCACATGATCCTTCTAATATGCTGATTATTAATTTCTGATTATTATCAATGTTGAAATATATATTTTTGTAATATTTTAATGGATATATTCAATATTTTTTGTGTAGAAATATTTTTATTTTTTGTTGAATAAAACATTCAACATGTTCAACAAATGTATCTTGTTCAAACATTATCAATGTCTTTACTGTCACTTTAACCAATTTAATGTGCTTGCTGAATAAAAGTATTAATTTCTCACTGTAAAAAAAAAAAAATCCTATTGACCCCAATCTTTTGAATGGTAATGTATATATCAACAAAAATGTAATAAAATGCTAACACTTTACAATAAGGTGACATTTCTTAACATTAGTTAACTATATTAGTTAACATGAATGATACTTAAACAGTATTTATTAATCTTAGTTAATGTTAAGTTCAACATTTACTAATGCATTATTAAAATCAAAGGTAGATTAGGGAACACTATTCACTATTAACTAGTTGCTAATTATCATGCATATTACTCACATATTAGCCGTTTATTAGTATAAAGCACATTAATGAATGAACTTAGTCTAGATCCCTTAACCCTACCCAATACCTAAACTTAACAACTACCTTACCAATAATAAGCAGCAAATTAGGAGTTTATTGAGGCAAAAGTCGTAGTTAATAGTGAATATGTGTTCGCTAATCTAAAGTGTCACCACAAAGCTTAATAAATGCTATTAAAATGATATTGTACATTGTTAATTCATATTAGTTGATGCAATAACTAATGTTAACAAATGAGACCTTATTGTAAAGTGTTACCAATTGAATAAATAAATAGGCACTTGTTTAAATAAATATATTTTTTAAATGATTATTATTCACAAATGGAGATGAGAGTGCACCTGTAGGAGGTTCTGTATAACGTGGGCAGGTGTGTTGTCTTAGTTTGTACCCAGGAGCAGTAGATTTTCATATGATTCGGCACACGACAAGAAACTCTGACGAAGTTAGGCGGATCTAAAAGAAGAAGAAGACAAAAACTATCTCATGAGATAACTTCAGACATAAATACACTTTATCTGTGAACACCCAAACAGACAGACTGCATAAGACAGCTGTTTAACTCAAGCACTGCCTTCAAGAACATGAGGGAATGTGATACGCTCGACTAAACTCACACACACGCTAGGAGCAGCAATCTCACCCTTCCTATCAGGAAACTGTGGAGCTGCGATGCAGCGACTTCCTGTCAGAGGAAGTGCCCTGAGTTAAACAGCAAGGGCGTACAACTGCACACTTTCTAAATCTCCCAGGGCACAACGGGTTTCCTTTTTACCAGAACATTTCCACCGTTTCCAGCAGCATTTCAGAGGCATCGAGCAACTATGAGACGTGTACAATTACAGATACCAATATTTCAGTTGTCAACAATACCAATGTCAATGAGTGTAAAGCTTCTTTAAAGCTAAATGATTAAAAACATACTTTAAAGTACAAATTTAATTTGACATTAAACACGTTTCCATAGAAGCACCATTTTAGAGGCCTCAAGCACACATGTGCACTTCTTGGATGTATGATCTGAGATTACATTTCCAATGAGTCAATATCATGATTCAAAGTTTATCAGATCCGTTATGTTTATGTTGCTACAACACTTTTGTTGGTTTAAGCCAACAATGTTCTTAAGATGCCATTTTCAATCAGAAGCAATGGAACATAGTCGTGGTAGATGCCATGTTAAATTCAAAGGTAATGAAGACAAGGCTGCGAGGGATAAACATATAGTCTGTTCAATTCGTCGCATGGTGTTAGGAAGGGATGTCCTGCTTCAACACAACTTAAGGACAGTCAAGAGCATTTGTATAAAAAATGCTGACTGACACAGAAAAATCATATAGGTTTGCACTTCACATAAAAACATAAAAAATAATAAAAGCATGTGTAAGCAAATAAGCATTATTAAAAGTAGAAAAAAAACATGAGCAAAAAAAAACTAATCATATTTTTAATAAAAGCAATAATTGAAAAAAAAAAATAATTCTTAATATAAATAAAAGCATAAATTAAATCTTAATATAAATAAATAAAAGCACAAATAAATAAACAAACATGTATTATTATTATTAATAATAATAATACAAGCATAATTAAAAACTTAAATAAAAATAAATACAAGCACAAATAAATAAACAAACAATTATTATTATTATTATTATTAATAATAATAATAATACAAGCATAATTGAAAACTTAAATAAAAATAAATAAAAACATAAAGTCAAGCATAAATAAATAAATACAAGCATAAACAAAAGCATATTTAATAAGAGCATAAATAAATAAATAAATAAATAATAAAAGCATACTTAACTTAAAAATAAAAACAAATAAAAATCATGAAGGAAGGAAGGAAGGAAGGAAGGAAGGAAGGAAGGAAGGAAGGAAGAAAGAAAGGAAG